AACCAGGTGCACCGTGATCTTGTTGCTGATAACGACAAGATTCGATACATTTACGGATTAAAACGTAATGATCATGTTACCGAATATCGTGAGCGTTTGAGTGAATTGACTCCTGAGAGCAGAGCAAAACTGCACTCAGCAGTCTTGATATTCAAGCAGTTGTCGAATTGTTCGCCTGAGTATCTGAATCGCATGTTTGTTCGTAATGGTGAATCGTCGCGTTATCCAGATAATCTTCGCATGAATTTCAATCCGCGTACTGCATTTGATACTCGCACATTTAGTTTCTCTGCAATCAATTTTTGGAATAGTATATCGGTCGAAATTAGAAATTCTAAATCTCTAGTCGCGTTTAAAAATAACCTAAAGCATCTGTTACGTTCCACGCAGTAAATTTTTAGATATTTTTGAAATAGTAAAATACTCGGACCATTGTTATGAAATTTCTTATCCAATTTAGATTAAGTTTGACTTTTCATTTGATTTTTCTCATTGATGTTAACGTACTTTAATTGCAAAAACTCATCATCATTGTATTTCCCCTGGTTTTCCAGAATCAGGCCGGTTTTCCGGATCCAATTCTGGTATAAAAGCCTCACTTTTATATCATCCCTCCCCTGACTGTATTCTCTTTGCAAAAGATGCACCATGGGCGGAATTTATGCCGTATTGGGTCTCTGACCAGCATGTTCTCAGCTTGCTGGGAACACATATTGGCATAATTGTAGGCTTCGTAATAAATAAATAAATAATTTCCGAGTCCATATTCATAAAAGTTTCATAATATTTCGCTAATCAAAAGGAATATTTCATCGTTGGTTATTTGTTAGTCGATTCATTACTCGAATATTTGTTCAGATAAGCGGATTTGCCTGGACGGTCACGTAGAGGGCAACATATAAAACAATCTATACGCAAAACAATCTAACGTACGTATGTTGTTATTTTATCGCATAAAACTCATGTCATGAGTTACGCTAACTTCATGTATACACTCTTCACTTTGTTTCTTTTGCTTTTCCATTACTCTGTTGATAACGAAAACGGCTAGTCGTATGGTTTCATGTTCTATGAAAAATTCGAATGAGCGCATATATTTCTCGTTCAACGGCAAAAATATTCTCTCATATTTTATGTCATAATCTCAACGACTGATTATTTCTACAAAATATTCCTCATTCTTGTTCGAGAAATCATGAAACAACACGAATGATGTGAAAGGAGAGAAATTGTAATCTACATTTTTTTTCTCTTTTTGGCTGACTTCATCCATTGCGTAGAAACTTGATATGGATTGGCCTGATGTGGCACTTTACATCATTTGCTGATATTTTCAATTTGAAAGATTCAATTGAAAAACACTTCTCCTTGGCTTCGGTCGCACATTTCAAATGCTCTCAGTGCACGGCACTTCATAGTGCAATTGTGACTTCGAGAAAAAAAGCGACTAAAATGTTTCGATCCTTTGATTTTAGTTACATTTTGATTTAAAAGTCATTCAGACTGCAGTAATTTCGGTGAGTTTAATCATTGCCTAAAAATGCAGCACTTTTCAATTCAGAATAATAAACATTTTATTAAATGTTTTTTTTTCAGAATCAAAATGATTACTGAAACAAGAGGAGGAGACTTGTCAATTCAACGTACGGAGGGACAGCCGATACATTGGATAATGTATCTACTGAAATGTGAACGGGGGAGGATTTCATCTCACTTTGAAGTTCCAGTCTTAAACAGCCGATCATCACATCACCTAAAATGATATTCCTCAGTGAACGAGTTTTTCTTTTTTTTTCTCATCACTTTGGTGTAAAATCATTTCCGTCGCAGTCATTTTTGTGTAAAATCTCTCAAGTTATACACTTTAAAGCATAATTTGTGCATCAGTTTTTGAATGTAAATTGCTCTGATTTTTCTCGGTTCTTTTCATTCTTTCAATTTGATTTTTTCGAGATATTTCTGGGACACTTTTCGGGGTGATTTCTGAAACTCGGGTTCCTATTTTCAGTAAAAAATTAAGTCTTATGTTAAATTCATTTTTTAAGTTTTCATTCATAGTTTTCTTGAACGCAACGAATTTTAATGATACATAATTGTAAACTTAGGTCTAAAAATTTAAAATGTTGTGAAAAAATAAAAATAAAATAAAATAAATTGACCATTCAGGCAATTGCCTTGAGTAGCTGCACGGTGCAGTGGCATCTTTCCACCATTATTTTTAGCATTGACGTCGGCTCCATTATTAATAAGCACTTGAACGGCATACCGATGTCATGAATTGGGAATGAATCTGAGTCAAGCGATTGAATATGATTTCAAATAAGAGTTCAAGTGTGAAGCGGTGTAACATTTTTTGCTCTCTAGTTCTACACCACTTTACGATGCAGCTCGGAATGGTATTTGAACTTTTACTTCAAATCAGAATCAATCGTTTGATTTCGATCTCTTTCCGATTCAGGACATGTGAATGTCACTCAACTGCTCATCGATAATAAAGCCAACATCGAAGCTAAGGACAATAAGGGAAATACGCTACTGCACCCTGCAACTATTGCAACTATTGAAGGTAATTGACTGAATTCTTGCTTCAAATCTCAAATGTTTTTTTGTTATTCGTCAATTGGTTGAAAATTCCCATTCACGCATTAAGGCGTCTTCACACTTCGGAAAATCGCCACGGGATTTGGTCACGGGATTTTGCACGGATTTTGTTCACGGGAAATTTCCCGTAGAAGTGCAAAAACCCGCAACGCATTCGGATTTACAGTTTAAGGAATTTGGTTTCCCGCAAGTAGAATCCCGTGCGGAGAATTTACAGTTTCGGATTTTCTG